ATATATATATATATATATATATATATATATATATATATATATATATATATATATATATATATTTAATGATATTAGAATTGTTTTTCCTTACACCTGCAAATATTGATGACAGGGAAGACACTGCTTGCAAAAACATTGGCGCGCTTAGTGAACGTTCCCTTTGTTATTGCAGATGCTACTACACTTACTCAGGCAAGTATTCATTCATTTAGGGGTTATGATTGATTATGTGTGCATTTCAGCTTTCATACATGTTTTTGATTTGCAGGCTGGCTATGTTGGGGAAGATGTGGAATCTATTCTATACAAGCTTCTCACAGTATGTCACTTGTACCTTTTCTTACCACCAATTTCTATACCCTTTAGTTACAATTTTGCTTTTTTCATACTAGAATCAGACGAGTTAATTGCAAGAAATAGCAATGTACTTGCATTTATTGGTTTATTATAGGCATAGCAATCTACAAGCACTTGTTCCTATTACAAGAATGTACTTTGAAAAATCTACCCAATAATACTAATGTCATCTAAATAATAAGTACAAACCAATTTTCACTGCTACAGTCAGGTTGATTTTCAAAGTATAATGTCTAATAAGAAAAAAAAATTGAAAGTCGAATGTGATAGTTGGGTAGATTTTGTCAAAGTACAATACCCTAATAAGAAAAAACTGAAAGTAGAATGCTGTAATTAGATTAATTGGAAGTAGGACAGACAAATAAATGAAAGTATGTTGCATTTATCCTTAGATCTATGATCTATCTGATTAATTTATAACCTATTCTTACTTCAGGTTGCTGATTATAATGTAGCAGCTGCTCAGCAGGGCATCGTGTATATAGATGAAGTTGACAAAATTACAAAGAAGGTTTTGCTGAAAAAAATAATAATTAATAATTAATAATAATACTCTCAGTTTGATGTGTTGTCTTAATTTGTTGCATTGCATCATATGATAGGCTGAGAGTCTTAACATTAGCAGAGATGTCTCGGGTGAGGGTGTGCAGCAGGCATTACTGAAGATGCTGGAAGGGACTGTATGTTGTTGCTTTGCTTTGCTTTATGCTACACATTTTTTAAACATTGTTTCCAGTCCACACTAATGCTATATTATTTATTGCTAGCATAGCATACCATAGCATGTTATGTTGAAAATTAATGTATTTCAGGTTGTCAATGTCCCTGAGAAGGGTGCACGGAAACATCCTAGAGGAGATAACATTCAGGTAACTCACACTCTTATATGACCAAAAAAGTTCAACATTTTGTCATGTTCTGTTGTTCATTCATACATTGGTTTTCCTAGTTTATTCTATTA